AGTGTCCATGATTTACATGAGGATAGTCTTTAAGTACCATAAGTGGACAGTCAGCACATAAATCACACCAAACTCTGAATTTTTCTGGATGCATTGGTAGCTTTTGCAATGCTTCTGGCTGATGTTCACTCTTAAATCCACATATATTTTATTTACATACCCATTCAGCCGAAAATGAGCTACGTCGCTGAGCACAATTCTTCGATGAAAAGGTGGATCTTTGAACAGTGGGTCTATATATCTCACAATAAATTTGAAGAAGTGGGCAATGATCTTTCTTAATACGGCAGGCATTTTTATGGTAAAATAAAAAAATACTCAAATAGATTTTAAATCCCTAGAATTTTAGTCACAACAGGTATTGAAAATGGGTCATATAGATCCACGTTTGGGAAAGCCCCTATATAACTCTAAATGAAGATTTAAGATTTATTTTCGGTATTTTAGACACAATTTCAAGCCGAGTTTCCTGTAATATGCAGTTTGTGTACCCAGCATGTGGAAATATTCTTGCTGAGAATTGTACATATAGTTCCAAGTTTTGGTAAAAATGCCATATAACTGTAAATATTGGGTATTTTACATAACTTTTGTCACACTTTCCTCCGGATTTGTTTCAAAATTGGTATTTGGTAATCGTCATGAGTACTGCCCCCAAAAAATTTCCTATAAAGATTCACGTCTTCCTATAGGCCCCATAAAATGATACCTCAATAAAGACGGTGATTTGGTGTTTTTACGAAATTGTTCAATGGAATTATGTCAATGTTAGTATTTGATATTGACAATAGATCCTCTCATCTGTAACTGTACTTGTTTCAAATTTGAACTTTGAAGTTCGAAATGGGTACTACCTCTTATGACTGAAACTTGCCTATGCAGGACCAAGTCTTTGAATAGCCACCATATAGTACTTCCCTATATTCGGTGTTGTGATGATGTTAACGACGTTATTCACCGCAATTTTTTCAGATTTGGTACTGTAAGTCCGTAATAGGTACTAAAGTTTGTGACACAAATTTGTTTATACATGTCTGCGTTTAGGACATATATAAAGGCAACTTATACCGGGTGAGATAAAAAAACTGCAACAAAATCAAACGCCTTTTATTTTAATTTTTTATTAATTTTTCATTTAAAGGAAGCAAAAAATTTTGGAAATCGCACCAAATTTTAGAATAAAATTAGATTTGTTCGAATTGGTCACCTTTGGCACGAATTATGGCATTCAAACAGCCAATGAAACCGTCACACGCTGCCCGAATGTTGCTCTGCAGTATTTAGTCCCATTTCCGGCGAGCGCTTGCTTGAGGTAATCGACACTTTGGTATTTTTAAGTGCCAACCTTGCTTTCCAAAATACACCAGACACAATAGTCCAACTGATTGGTATCCCAAGATTTTGGTGGTCATTGTTTTCAGCTGACCTCTTTGGCAAGTAAACACGATCATTTTATTTGTTTACAAACTGCTGGACAACGAATGTTTTCTCATCGGAGAAGACCAAATTCGGCAGTTCACCACTTTCGGCTAAGCGAAGCACCTCCTTAGCTCTTTTGAGTCTATTTTCTTTCCGTTGCGGTGTAAGTTCTTGCACTTTTTGGAATTTCAATGGCTTACCCTGAGCAAATTTTTCAATATTTGCCGAATGGAATATTGCGATATGTTCAGCTCACGAGCCATTTTTCGGCCACTGCGACACGGGTTTCGATCAAGTCACTTCTTTACTTTTCGAACAATTTCTGCTGATGTTGCTATTTTCTTCCGTTCACTTCCTTGACGTCGGGCTACGCTACCAGTATCACGGTAACGAGCGATGGCACGAGACAAAAAAGATTTATTCACATTTAAATTCTGGAGTGCTCTAACGATAGCCACTTGTGGTTTTCCAGCCAAATATAAAGAAATCACACTATCACGCTTGAATTCCATCGCAATTAACTTTTTTTTCAGGAAAATTCTCACAAAAAGGCTTTTGTTCGCTTGTAAACAATTTAATGGGCTGTCACTGGAATAATTTTAACAGCTATCGGACGAGTGGCATAGAAATGACAGCAGTCTGAAGTTGGTTGAATTTTTTTCATCTCAGCCTGTATAGGTCCATGTTTTGGTATAGATCCCATATATTGTACCTCCAAATATTCGATTTTTTGTGAATTTTGTTGCCAGAATCGTTTTAATATTTGGAGTTCGTCATGGCCACTGCCGCTATGGCAGTAAGTTTCATATAAAGTTTCACTACTTCGTATACCCAAAACCAAGTCGCCTTTAGTCTCATACCATTTAGTACAATTCTTGCAAAAACCAACTTTACTTCCCAATCTTAATTTCTATACCAAATGTCAAGAATTTAGCTGAATCCGTCAACATAAAACGAAATGGTACCATGGTACCAAATTCAGTGATTTTTATTACTTTTAGTAAATTTATAGTTCGAGTTTCGAAAAAAAACAAGTAAATCGAGCAGCAAAGCAGTAAGTTCGGCCGGGCCGAACTTTGAATGCCCTCCACCATTTGGAACGAATTTGGATATTTTGAACAGAAAAAGTAAAATCCGTTAAAAATTCTGTTCTGTATAGGCAACTTTTGTCATAAGCCATTACAATATTCAAATGCGAAACTTAAACCAGTAAAGAAAGTCATAAAGTCGGGTGGGCCGATTTTATGATACCCTACACCACTTTGCTAACAATTAACAGATTTTATGGGAGAATTTAATTATACACGCTATGATTATAATTATAATTTAAATTTCAAAGAACTAAATATGCCGAAGCATTTGTATTTTTTAAATTCGGACTTGTATTGCCCATTTGGTGCAAAATCAATTTGAAATCAGATAAAGATATATATGGGAGCTATATCAAAATCTCAACCGATCTCGATAAAATTTGGCAAAGATATTTCAGAGCTGTATTTTATATATTTCCCTGAATATCGTTGTTACGGAGTGTATATTACGGCTGTGGGTAACAAATATAACAAATCGGATGAACAGTATATATGGGAGCTATAGCTATATCTGAACCAAATATGACATACTAGCTTCTAGACTCAATTCGTTCGTAAGTGTCAAATTCCATCCCATTTGGACAAATATTAGACGTTTGGTGCACAATAAAAGATAAATCGGACGAAGCTATATATGGGAGCTATATCCAAATAGGAACCGATCTCGATAAAATTTAGCAAATGTATTTCTGAGCTGCATTTGAAACATTTCCCCAAATATTTTTGTTACAGAGTGCATATTAGGCTGCGGTGGACAAAAATAACAAATCGGATGAAAAATATATATGGGAGCTATAGCTACACCTGAACCGATTTCGATCAAATTTGGCATACTTATTTTCAGGCCTAATTTGGTTGTATGTGCAAAATTCCATGCTATTCGTGGTGATATTACACGTTTGGTGCACAATAAAAGGCAAATCGGACAAAATTTCATCTGGATAGGGTAATAAATTCGAACTGTACTTTGTTTACAAAATGTCGGGAGGTACCGTTATATGGGGGCTATACGATGACGTGGACCTGCACAATTTTCTGTCTTAGATTGTAGTATTCATTTCGAACTTCTAACACCAAAGTTGAAACAATTCCGGTGGATAATGTCGCTAAAATCATCAAAATACCCAATATCAGGAGGTACCGTTATATGGGGGCTATACGAAGACGTGGACCTACATGGCCCATTTTCAATGCCAAAAATGCTGCAGACGTAATATCCATTTGAGTAAATTTTTATGAATCTACTTCAATTCGTTCGAAAGCTAGAGTGATTTCCACAGACACAGACATTGCTAAATCGGCATAGAATTTTATGCTGATCAAGAAAATATATTTTTGTGGGGTCTAAAATGTATATTTTGAGCTGTTACAGACGGAGTAACAAACTTAATGTAACCTCCATACTATGGTGGACCCCTTCAGCGATCCCCATTTCAAATATAAGAATTCTACCTCTATCCGTTTGCAAAATAGTTTTTATTTTCGGCACATTTTGAAAGTTGTACTACATTTATAGTCCGAATTTCCAAAAATTCCGCCTTGTCTTACTCCTACACACTAACAGTGCTTCAAGATTCCAGCTTCAGCCGTTTCGCCTGGATGTTGATAAATCAGTCTGTCAGTCACTTATCGCACCACCGTTTCAGAGGATAATATGCAAGAGTTCTGTAAATTTTCCTTTACCGTACTCCACAGGGAAACCTGTGCTACAATTTTACCCTTACCTGCATCTCTGTTACTCATTATAAAATGCTGGTATTAAAAATCACATTAAGGTTTTTCGCAAGCGTAATTATTATTCACGTGTTCGCATTTCCTTTTTTTTGCCTTTTTTATTTTTGTTTATTTGCTTTGTCCTCTACTATCCAAAGGCAATACAAACAGCTAAAGCAATACCAATAATATCCTTGCCAAAGCGTTCTCCTTTTGTTTAATAAATGTAATCGATCGATAATCCATTATTATGCATTGTTAATGAGAATTGTTTGGACAAAATAAGAGAAAATAAAAATGGAAAATTATAACAATGTTATTTTAATTATGGCATGTTGCCGTTTGGACCACACATTGGTTGGAATTATGGTTTCATATTATCATTACTGCCTGGTGCGGCAGTGACAAGTAAAACTTGTTAAAAAAAAAAAAACAACAACCAACCAACACACACCCGCATAACATTTAGTTGCCTAGGATGCTATTCCCCATTCAATGATGGCCTTAATGGATGATAGTTTTGGTAGCTGAATGGTTGGTGGTTGGTCAAGTATTTTGCTATGGTTTTGGTAGCATCCGGTCATTTTTTCATGGAAATATACAGAAGGAAAAAGTTGTTCTCTATATGGCCATTTACTCCCCCACACCACACCACTCCACTCCACAGCAACACAATACAATGACATGCAAAAGTAACAAATGCAAACTACATTTCAGTTTTCCTGCAATCTGCAAAAAAATAAAAAAAAAGAGAAAAAACTGCCAACAAAAACTTACCTCGACATTTAGACCACTTTGTGTAAGAAAAACTTTCATGGCCGGATTTTCCTTGGGTGTGTAACGATAAAATTCACGTCGTCCTTTGTACCATTTTACGGAATATAAAGTATCATTTTCCATATCGTAATTACATGTTAGCATTGCATTACTGCCACGTTTTACAGCTTGTGGTATCGTTACCGAAACATCCTTTAATGCCACAATAAAATCTGCAAGCAAAAGTAAAAAGGAGAACAGATGAGGAAAGAGAAATAAGATAAATGGCCGAAATCAAAGTGAAAATGTGAATATGCAAGGAACCGGAGAAGAAGAAATGTTGTTTTAAATTTGAAATCATCATCGTCCTCATACAGAGGTATGTAGATAGAGTAGTGTGCGCAGCAATAAGAAACGTGATGATTTCTTGATCTTATCATTGTTGCAATTTCCTTTTCGGCAAACTACTTTTAATGGAAAGAGTTATAATAAGTTTATTTTTGGGTAGTACTGTTATAAATTTGTTTTTATATTGTATTTATGAAAAATGTTTGTACAAAATATTCAAATGTTGAAAATATAAAAAATTGTTGTTTTCAGCAAAGCTTTGACGAGTTGAATTTTTTTAAGGAATTTTGTGAATTAAACAAACATTTTTCCACTGTCTCAGAACCGGAAAAAATCTACAATAGTTTTCTCCATAAATTTAAACATATTTTCGTACGAGAACTCACATTATTTCAAAACGATTTTAGAGTTTAAAATTAAATATATAAATTTAAATATTACGTTCATATTTTTAAAGAGACTGTATATTGATATAATTTGTAAGGCATGGTCTGAGTAATTTTTACAGAGATTTTCTTTAACAAAAATGTCTGAGACAATGTTTTAAGGATGCAGAGAATATTTGACATTATTCTCTGAAGATATTTCCTATTTTTATACCCTATAAGGTGGTCAGGGTATTATGTCTCTGTGCATTTGTTTGTAACAGGCAAAAGGAAACGAGATAGACCCATAGTTCCTTTTGATGATCTGCATAGAATCACATTCTAAGTCGATTTATGCATGTCCGACCGTCCGTTTGTCCATGTATTTTTGTAAACAAAGTACAGTTCGCATTTATTGCCCTATCCAGATGAAATTTTGCACAAATCATTTGTTTGGCCCAAGGACGAACCCTATTGAAATTGGAGATAATCGGTCAAAATTTAGATATAGCTCCCATATATATCTTCGTCCGATTTGTTTTTATTGTGCACCAAACGTCTAATATTTGTCCAAATGGGATGGAATTTGGCACCTAGGATCGAATTTAGTCTAGAAGGTAGTATGTCAAATTTGAAGATCGGTTCAGATATAGCTATAGCTCCCATATATACTGTTCATCCGATATGTTGTATTTGTTACCCACAGCCGTAATATGCCCTCCGTAACAACAATATTTGGGGAAATATATCAAAAACAGCTCAGAAATACCTTTGCCAAATTTTATCGAGATCGGTTCAGATTTGGATATAGCTCCCATATATATCTTTATCTGATTTCAAATTAATTTTGCACCAAATGGGCAATACAAGTCCGAATTTAAAAGATACAAATGCTTTGGCATAATTATTCCATTGAACTTTAAATTATAATTATAATAATAGCGTGTATGATTGAATTCTCCCATAAAAAATTTTAATTTTTATGCGGAGCTCTACTAAACTAGCAAAGTGTTGTAGGGTATCATAAAGTCGGCCCCGACCGTCTTTAAGACTTTCTTTACTGGTTATACCTTACAGCACTTCGTTTTGGGGTATTATAAGTTTGATTAGGCCAAAAATTATGCAGCACCTCGAAATATTGGTCCCCGTCATAGGAAACTATATATGGATCTTAATATCTCACCGAGCTGAGTCGAGCTAGCTATGTATATCCGCCCATCTGCCCATGTTAATTTATAATCACGCTTCAGGTCTCAAATATGATCCGATCTTCAGAAAATTGAAAATGGAGGTGGGGTTAGGGTCAGAATAGAACCCTATTGTGTTTGGAGATGTTCGCAAAATATCTATGGGTTGAAATGGACCAAAAACTGAAAAATTTTCTGATTTTGCAGTTGCTCTACAGGTCGCAATTGTAGACCAATCGAAGCGGAAGTTCGCTCGGCGCTAGGGATTAGGGCTGGGCAGAAGCCTTCCAATTTTGATGGTCATCGAGTAATATTTAGTGGGTGAAACAGAACATAACATTTAGCCATGTCCGTCTGTCTGCCTGTTTGTCTGTCTGTCTGTTGTAATCTTTCAAACGAATTGAGATAGAAGGTTAAAATTTAGGTGACATGTTTATTTTGCCAGTAGGTTAAGTTTGTGAATGGGCCATGTAGTTCACGTTTTCATATAGCCCCCATATAACGGTACCTCCCGATATTCGGTATTTTGATGATTTTAGCGACATTATTCACCGGAATTGTTTTATATTTGATATTTGAAGTTCGAAATGGATACTACAGCCTGAGACAGAAAATTGTCTGTGCAAGTCCACTTCATCGTATATCCCCCATATAACGGTACCTTCCGATATTGGGTATTTTGATGATTTTAGCGACATTATTCACCGGATGTTTTTCAAATTTGGTGTTTGAAGTTCGAAAAGGATACTACAGCCTAAGGCAGAAAATTGTCTATGCAGGTCCACGTCTTCGTATAGCCCCCATATTACGTACCTCCCAATATTCGGTATTTTGGCGATTTTAGGTACAATACTCACCGAAATTGTTTGAGATGTTGTATTTGAAGTTCGTAATGGATGCTACAGCCTGTGACAAAAATTGCCTATGCAGGTCCAGGTCTTCGTATAGCTCCGATTTAACACTACCTCCCTATCTACGGTATTTTGATGATTTTAGGTACATTATTCACCGTTTATTTGAATATGGTAATGGCATATGACAAACAATGCGTGTGAAGGTCCACGCCGTATAGACCCCAATATAACGGCTATATTCGGTATTTTAAATATTTTAACAGAATTTTTAACGGATTATACTTTTTGAAAATTTCCCAACCCGTTTCATATGGTGGAGGGTATTCAAAGTTCGTCCCGGCCGAACGTACCGCTCTTTAACTTGTTCTTAATATAATCCTTCTCAAAGTGATACAATAAACTCTACAGAAAGGGTATTTGGTAATGTTGATAGCCGGTTGGATCTACTTCAAATCTACTCATACTAGCCTTCTATGAGGTGACATACTGGCCGTCTAGGAAAAAAGTTACTGGCCGTCTACGAATAAGACCTTCAGTGGCACTCTATGATTTTCTTCTGGTCTCCAACGAGAAGCCATTCTTGTAGTCTTCTACGAGTTGTCTTTCTTCTGGTCCTATACCTGAATAAATTCTTATAGTCTTCTGGTCAACAGGGGAAAACTTTCTTCGTATTTTCTATGAGGAGACGTTGTTCTGGTATTTTTTAGGAAGATCTTCTGCGCTTACTTGAGAAGACTTTTTGTCTACCTCTGTGAAGACCTTTTGGTCTACTACCAGATCGCTTTATTCTATGACAAGATCTTCCGATTTTCGATTAAAATACCTTACCTTTCCTTCCGGTCTTCTATGAGAACATCCTCTTGTCTTCTATGATAACACCCTCTGCTCTTCCATGAGAAGACCTTCTGGCCTTCTATGAGAAGACCTTCTAGCCTACTATGAGAAGACCTTCTGGTCTTCTACGAGAAGACTTTCTGGTCTTCTATGAGAAGACTTTCGGATCTATTATAAGAAGGCTGCCAGGTCTTCTATGAGAAGAACCTTTTCCGGTCTTCTATAAGCAGACCTTCAGTTCTTCCATGAGAAGATCTGCTGGTATTCTATGAGAAGACTTTCCAAAAAGAGAATAGCTAAAAGCTGATTTTTTTTAAGAATCTTTTTTGAATGACTTTAGGGGCTATATTCGATTTTTTCATTGGACTGGCCGATTTAAAGTGTTTTAAAGAACCTGATCGTATTTTTTCACTTACAGGCTTAAATGTGATTTGACATTTTTTAAGAGCCCCATATAAGAGCTCAGCCCAATTTTTAGTATTGCAAAGAGCTTGGCAACATCCTCTATTCAAATAAGCTGTTATGTGGAATCGGCAAATTTTCGAAGATTGCGCTGCATGGTATTTAGTTTTGTTCACCTCATAATGAGTCTGTTTGTTCGCCAATTGAATAAAATTACTATATATCGGGGTACATGGGAGATACTGTTTTGTGGACTATATAAAAATATGTAACTATATTTCTGTCCCCTTAGAAGCTTATGGCCAAATGAATTAAACAATGTGGGCAAGACCCCGAAAAAGCTAAAATCAGGTCATACCTTTAAATGAGGGTTATATCAAAACATGGGCCCATAAGTATAATTTTTTGAGAGGGTATTTTCAAAAAACCTCAAATTACCAAAACCAAAACCTCAAATTACCAAAATTTGACGAAATTGGATATAAAAATCTAAAAAATAAAATAACCTTATATGGGGGCTACATTAAAACGTAGACCGACACGACCCATATTTTGAACAAATGCTTTTACACGTAGCTCATAGGACTGTATCAAATTTAAAGCTATATCATAAATTTTCCGAGGTAAAGAGGAAAATATTTGAGATCCTTTGTGTATGGATTAAGCTACATAATAGACCAAAAAAGATGGCCTTGGATCACAAAAAGTTTTTGGTATTTTATGAGCATTTGAATACTGCAAACCATACTTAATCATCGACAGAATTGTGTAAATCTTGTGTCCTACTTGTAAAGAGGTGCTATATTACCTTTTGTTTAATAATTTTTTTAATTTGGGAATTTACATTTAAATTAATTCAGTCGATAACTTATAATGCTATTTTCTACACTTTAGGGGACGTAAAATAGTACTTCAAATCTACCCCTGTCCCTCAGACTAGCATTCAGGTGTGTGCATTCATTCTTCAATGTGGCGCCCAATCTAAACAAAACATTTTATAAAAAAAAAAAATATTTCACCATACTTACATTTATTTCAATGCATCATCCTAACTATACATTTCATCTAAACGGCACCCAAACCCTAAAATTTCCCTACTCACCTCAAATTTCAATTCTGAAACATCACAATTAAAATTCTATCTTAACATTGACCAATCGTATAGAAAATACGTTAACTTTTTTTGGGGTCAATAGAATTGGCATTGCACCTACTATCAATTCTTTTTTTCCAGCAAAAAAAG